AAGATCGAATTCTTTTTTTTTAAATAAAATATTCAATTAACGATTTCATTTTTTACTTTAAGAACAGAATAAAAAAATTATAAATGCATATGAAGTGTATTAAGTTTAAAATAAAAAACACCCTGTAATGTTGTTATCCATATTCCACCATCAGGATTATTTTTCGCTTTAAGTTCAGATGGTGTTGTTGTTGTCGCAGCACCTGATGCTGCTGCTATTACTGTTGCTGAACCTGCTATATTAGTATTAGTGTTAACTTCTTCTTCATTATATAATGATGTAGATAATGATGTACTTTGATTATTACCACCGGATGACATTTCAATAGCTAAAAAAACCAAAATTTTATTGTACTGAATTATTATTTTTCTCTTACTAAATTTTGGTTGATTAGTTGTTTTAGTTAATTGAATTAATGTTTGTTGCTGTTGTTGTTTAAGTTCATTAATATTTGGTTATTCAAGTTCAGGTATATTAATTTCATCACGTGGTGAAATATATTTAAGTATATCTTGTGTGATTGAAAACCATCAAATATATTCTTCACAAAATGTACATTGACTTGATGATGTTCGACAACGATGACGGCGTGTCCATGGTAATATTAATTCTTAATTCATTAAAGATAAAATTTCTTTTGATAATGGATTATGCATTCCTTGATGTTGTAGTGTTTGTTGAAGTTCCATCTAACCACAAAAAAAAAAATCGATCAATAAGATATTTCGATCAAAAAAAAAAATCTTTACTTGGTTAAGAACCATATCAATCCTCATAATACAACATGTTGAATTCATTTCACTTTCATTAACAATAAATTCTTCTTCTTTGATAATTGAAACCATTTCTTATTCAGCCATTTGTTGTAACATTAATTGATGACGATATGCACGATAGGTTTCATATGTATTGAAAACGAGAAATTTATTTGTTGATGACGATGATGAAACTGTTGTTAAACCAGGAATACCGCTTAGAGATGTAAAACCAAAGAAAGATTTCATTTCCACACGGATGTCACTACTGTGAAATGAATAAGATTGGATGATTCTAAAAAACGATCGAACTTAGCCTCTTCTTCACATTCATTTGTTTCAAAACATTTCTTTCAATAATAAATAGTTTATTTTAAATTTATTTTTAGGTTAAATATTTTTTCAATTAGAATCTTTTTAGATAGATCAAGTTTTAGATAACTCAATTCATCCAAGACACTTGTAAACCAGAAAAACTTGCCTCTCTTTTATATAATAACGTCTTCTGCCATCAACATCGTATGTAGTCTTATGTTCCTCATTTAGAATTTTATTTATTTTCTCTTTTTTAGATTTTAATTTATGAACGAAGAGAAATACAGCCAGAATTTTTTTCACGGAAGCACCCAATTTAAAATATTAATTACTACATATGAACATTTCCATCTATTTTTTCATTTTGTTTTTCGATTATCCTCTTGTCTAACTATGTAAAATGGCACACTGTGTTTTTATTTTCATTTTTATTATATAATTTGCTCAAGTAAAATAGTACGAATATTCAATTTTTTAATAAAAATACTCGTGAAATTAAATCAATAATAAGAAGTTTTGGATATGATAAGAAAAAACTAAACATATGAGCATAAAATTGTATTGAATATTGGTGAATTGAGAGTAAAAATCGACTACAAAATCACGACTTATCGTAAAAATTGCAAAAAAAATCGAGAAAAATCGGTGATTTATCGTGATTCAGCTCACGATTATCATTTCGGTAAATCGCGACTAATCGCCGATTTTTTACCGATTTTAAGGACATGGGTACCTATTTGACAACGACTTCTATCTAACTCGTTCTTCTTCTTTTGGTTATAGGACATCGAGAATTTATTCAGCATTCGTTGAGAAGCAGAAAAGAAATGCCATAGAGAGGAATATTAAAGTACTAACAGAGAAAACAAGGCGCATTACTTGCGTTTTCTTTACGTCTGAATAGTCAGGCAAGCGCTTGCTAGAAGAAAAAGAGGAACGCGCGCTTATTTATGTATGTAGAACGAGAAGAAAGATGAGGCACCCACATGCACTAAGGCACATATCGAAGAATAGAAAAATGTCTAATAGTGAGTAAATATAATCACGATGTCTTTGATTGCGCAGAAGAAAAAAAATAAGACAGAACTTCCTCCATTATTGACATCACATAGAAACAAGACATCAAAGCAATATGGGTAAATTGGATGGTAAAGTTGCTCTCATTACTGGTGGTTCAGAAGGGATTGGGTTCGCTACTGCCCAGCGTTTTATTGCCGAAGGTGCAGAACATGTATTCATCACTGGGCGTCGACAAACAGCACTTGATGAAGCTGTGAATAAGATTGCTGCAAAAAATGTTACTGCAGTACAAGGTGATACATCAAATATGACTGACCTTGATAAATTGTTCAGTATCATACAAAAAGAAAAAGGTCGTTTGGATATTATTTTTGCCAATGCAGCCACTTGTTCGTTTGCAAAACTTGGCACGATTAGTGAAGAATATTTTGACAATGTAATTAATGTCAATGTTAAAGGCGTTTTATTCACTATTCAAAAAGCTTTACCACTGTTAGTTGATGGTGCATCGATTATTCTCAACGGATCGAATTCATCAAACAAAGGCGATCCTGATTTGAGTGTGTATTGTGCATCAAAAGCAGCAATCCGTTCCTTTGCTCGTTGTTGGACTGTCGATTTGAAAGAACGAAAGATTCGGGTAAACACTCTGAGTCCAGGTGCAGTCGACACTCCATTATTACGAAGTATGGGAAAAAATGAAGAAGAAAGTCAACGACTCATTGCCGAATGGATAGCAGCAACGCCTATAAATCGAATTGCTACACCGGATGAAATTGCTAAAGTCGCTGTTTTTCTTGCTTCAGACGATAGCAGTTACGTGACGGGTATTGAACTGTTTGCTGACGGTGGCCTCTCGCAAATCTAAGAGAGTCTTTATTGATACTGCTAAAATAACTCTCCCAATTATATTGATTAAACATTCACTAATATTTAGATAGAAAAATTTGGAAACACTTGGAATTCACAACGAAGTGAATAAATGACATTTATTTTGAAATAAACATATATACACAGCCAGAACACATCTTAGTTGTACTGAAGCATTGCTAACCGCCAAGGAAAACCTTTGTGAGTGATCGTTAGTTGCTGCTCAATCAAGATCCTTATGAATATTTGTTGAATATAGATCTCTATTCGTTGTAAATCAAGTCGACCTTGATTGATTCTTCGTTAAATCTTTCAGCAAAATTGAATCTGGTACTTTTTCTAATGATTTTCGAGATGATAAAAGAAGGGTGTGGGTGTTCTTCTGTTCTTGAACAACACATCCACACCCACACTCTGCTGCACTCCATTGTTGCCACATCCATGAGTCACTTAAAGACATTAAGCTTATCACTTTGATTATATTCTCTTTTGTTATAGTTTTCTTTTTCAAGGAAACGAGAGCTGATCTTTTTCCAATTAAAGCTATTTATCCTACAAAACTCAATCGTCTATTGTTATCATACGCAATTTTTAGAAATTTTTCACTCATTTTGCTTTATTTGGATTGGTTATAGAAAAAACCAGAATTAATTAAGAGAAATACGATGAATTGATTGCAACGAATTGTCATGTGACGAAATGATCGTGATGAATAGAACGAGACAATGTGTTGTGTGACGAATTGTACGAATGGGTCCCATGTAAAAAAATTAGGGGTAAAATTAGATTAAAATCGATTAAAAGGTGTATGATTTTAATCTGATTTTATCTCTACTTTTTTTACATGGGCTGTGGGTGTGGGTGTAGTAATAAAGTATCACACCCATATCCTTTTTATTAGCTTCCGGTGATTTCTTTATCAAAATAAGTGTATGAAAGACTGATTAAATGTATATTTTTCTCACTTATTTATGCTGGATGAAATTCTATAAAAAATAAAGCAAAACAGAAAATTAACAAACGATTATGAAATATTTTCAACATTTAAAAACGAATTACAGACAACCAAATACTTTTTTTTTCTTCATCTGTAGTTAATCTTTGAACTCTACATATAAAGCTTTTCTGTATGGAAAAATTTGTCTTTCTTCTAAAGTAATTTATTGAGATTAAAAAGCAAATGAAAAAGAAGTATAATTTGAATATTATGTTCACATTTAAGAACATGAAAATTCTTCCTTGTTCATACCACTTGAACATGAGCTTGCATCCCATGTATATTTCACCTTGCTATCTCTAACAACTTTCCCGCAGCCAGTAATTGTATAGGCTTGCATCATAAGTTTACATGCCTGCTCACAATTCTTCATAGAAACATCGTCGCATCCACAAAGCTTGCATGATGAAATCTCCCATGAATGATACGGGAAATGAAGTTTGTTTGAAACAATTTTGCATTTACATCTGTATCAAAGTATTTCGATTTTTTTTCAATATCTTCTACATTCAAAAATTGGCTTTCACTTACTCTCGACTTATAAAATTACTCTGGACACTTATAAAGAGCGTAAATACAACAAGAAGAAAAAGCTTCATCATTGGTTTTGATTTGAAAAATATATGTAAATCGTATTTTTATTCTTGTATTTATATACTATGCACTCGAGCTGATTCATGATTATTCGTTTTTTTTCTCTTTTTATCGTATTATAAACTATTGATATCATAGTTTGTAAGTGTATGATTCGTAGTAATGCCATAGAACTATAAAAATGGTTGATTTATAACAACCGATGTTAAATGAAAATAAAAAAAAGAGAAAATTCAAGAACAAAAATGTTAATATGAACCAGACATACACCCAAGCACAGAACCAAGGTCGATATATAAATATAAAATTTAGGTGATACACGTAAAGTATTTCTTATAAATCTAAGTATGCATTTTACGACAATTGAATCCAGATTGATACATGTAGAACAAGCAATGAAACTCACGATTATTTTACAAAATAAATCCACGATATATAACTAAAGGTGTGAGTGTAGTAAGAATGACTCGCACCCACATTCCACAAAGAAATATCTTTGAAACATTTTTGTTTTAACGGATGAAACATAATCAATGACCACGTTTTGTAACTTATACTTTCATCATTTAATACAGTACTTCACAGAAGTCCTTGGCCCCTTAGACCTTGGAAATCATGAAATTCTTCGAGCTGAAAGTCATTTCTTAGTATATTCTGATCGACAGAATAAATCTGAGTTCAAATATTTTTCATATGCCATGATTGAAAGTAAAAAATAAACCTACTTTCGTGCCGTGGATAACATCAAAAACAAATCAGAAGAAAATGTTATTATTACGAAAGAAGCTTGTATCGAAATTTGAATATTTTCACGTCGAAAACGTGCTCATATGAAGGTCTTCTTATGTTAGTACTTTCGAGTTATAAGTTTTATACTATGATGGTAAATAGCCTTGACTTAAACGAGATGAATTAATCAATAAGCAGGTGATCAAATTTTTGAGCTACTTAAATATAATTTTTCGAAATTTGTCGGATGTAGAGAACAAAATCTAAGTATCATCTCACGTTGAAAGGTTATGTTCTTGACTAGTTTATATTTCTTAAACCGTCACATCATAGTTCTAAAAGATTCAGTTCATGAGTAAAACGATTATAGTTTCTCTACAATCTCATAAAACTGATTCATGTTCTGTATTCTTTAGGTATTAGTAACTAGGTATACATTAATGCATAAAATTGATAGGATTCTATCTGGTTGTCACATAAGTCCTGCACGTTTTTTTCGTATTTTAGACACATTTAAGGCTTTATATCTGGTGATTGGAAAGTGATAGAGATCTGAAATTTTTAGTATAGATAGAAGTCGTAGGAATCTATCTGTACTAAAAGGGTGCGAGGGTGGGTGTGTGTGTTGATCGTCTCTTCACCCACACCCACACCCACCCATAACTACAATAATAACAATTTTCTAATCAATAGTTCTTATTCATTCATTAGAATCTACTCATGTTTTTGACTAATATTTTCAATGCCGTAAAAATAATTTTAAATATTTAATCTCATTGTTAAAAACACCTTGTATCAGTCAGAAGCATGAAAATCCTTTATTATTTACATTAAATTCTTATTCCCTTGAAAACGAACATTCAGTTTGTCTTATTATTGGAATTAACATATCATCTTATAGTGAAAAAAAATTCGTAATTATTGATGTTGTCAGTTGAATCTTAGATCAGATTTCCAAATTATCTGATTTTCGTTAGTGTCAAACTCTAGACTTATTATTCGAGTGATGATTTTTTACAAAACAAAATCTAATGATACAGCGGGCGTATCGTGTAGTGGAAGCGCTCGAGTCTACGGAACTCGGAACCCTGGTTCGATCCCAGGTACGCTCATTTTCTTACTTTCTCTTGTCGTTCTTTCTTCGTCGTATATATCCAAAATTACAACAGAATGGAAATAAAAAATGATGAAAATAAACTAATAAACAAATGATGTGCAGTTGATTATAAGTTGTCTTCTGTAAATTGAAACAATTTGAAATATTTCCAATCGGTTATTGAAAGATGCACGTTTGATTTTTGTCTTAATTACGTTATCCTTTTTATCGAATCGTTCATGTTAAATAAAGCATATCGACTGTGGCTATTCAGAGTACTCAGAATAGATAAACATCTGTGAACAAATGAAATGACAATAGATAGATCATCCTTTTTACGATTACATGCTTTACTTTCTCTTTACACTCAGAAGCTTCATAAACTTCATTGTCTCACCATGAATTTCTTTGTATCCATTGTAATTTCACTTACTTTCTTCATTTAGAAAAAAAAGAAATAGCTTTGCTTGCTGTAGTCTATAGCTAAGAATAGAACAACGAACTTTTATTTATACGGAAACAACAACGAAACATATTACATAAAAAACAAACAACAAAACATATAGTTATGAATATGCTAATATCTACTTCTAATAAAACGATATATATTCATTCTATTAATAGTTTTAAGTAAAATCATAAAATATTGCGAAACTCGATTCAATAGTGAAGGTGCCGTTCGCATTTCTTCGAGCATCCTAACATCTAAGTGCAATCCTTTCGCTTCAATTGTAAAAGCTTCCATGAGTCGCTGACCAAGCTCTACGCTTGGAATAACAATCTCGAATGGCTCTTTCGTACTGTAGATCACAAGTTTGTCCTGCTGGATTGTCACAGCAATTCCCTGCAGCAGTGCGAACAGGTATAGCACAGATAAATATTCCAATTTTTTAGCCTTAAAACAGGTGTTAATAAGTTTCTCAAATGAGAGATTTTTGAAGCAAATTGATCCGTGCTTAGACAGGCAAAGGTCTGAGATTAGTTGAGGATCTAATTGTGTCAAGTCAAACGATGAAGTGATCATATTACTAACTGCCTCTGCTGCTGCTTTAGAAATAACATAATGATCATTATTAATTATACCAATAAGATCACTAATTATTTTACTCGTCGCTCTTTTTCCACTGATATTCCCAAGTGCTTCACAGGTATGATATCTAACATATCCATTCTCATCTCCTGATGCATTAAGAAGTTTTCTTATCACTTCATTCGTCATTACTTTGTCGCCCATTTGTCCAAGAGCTTTACAGGCACCCGCCCTGACATCCTTTTGCACATCGTCTAGCGCTGTTACTAGTCCGTTGATCACTTCATTTGTCATCTCTATATCGCCAAAATCTGCGAGAGTATAACAAGCACTACTACGGACAGTTGTGTCCTGATCTTTTAATGCATTGACTACTTTGTCGATCACTATCTGATTCGCTGCCTTTTTACCCATCTTTCCAAGAATATACAACGCACCCTCTCGGACATTCTTACTCTCATCTCCTAGTGCATCCGTTAGCTTCTTGATCACTTTGTCCGTCCATGCTTTTTCACCTACCATTTCTAGAGATTCACATGCACTCACTTTGACCTTCTCATTCGTATCTTCTAGTGCATTCACAAGACTGATAATTATTTCATTCTTTGCTGCTTTTATACACTTCATTCCAAGAGCTTTACATGCACTGGTTCTGACGAGTTCACTTTTATCGTTTAATGCCTTAATTAGTTTTCCAATCACCTCCTCTGTTGCCGGTTTTTCACTCAAATTTCCCAGAGCTTCACATGCATTTCTTCTGTCGTTCTCATCCTTACTGTCCAGTGCAGTAATTAATTTTATCCTCACTTTATTCGTCACTACCTTTTCTCCCATTTTTTCTAGAGCTTCACATGCACTTCTTCTGACAGATCCACTCTTATCGTCCAGTGCATTTATTAGTTCACTGATCACTTTATCTCTTGGCGCTTTTTCACCTATATTTCCCAGAGCTTCACATGCATTACTTCTAACATATTCATCCTCCTCTCCCAGTGCACCCAATAACGCGTTGATCACGTCATCTGTTACTGCTTTTCTCCCCATCTTTCCGAGTATATAGGCTGCACCGGCTTTGACATTCTCATTGTCATCTTTTAGTGCACCCACTAGCTTGCCAATCACTTCTGTTGTCGCTACTTCTTCTCCTATATTTCCAAAAAAATAACGCACACGTGCTCTAACATGTTTATTTTCATGTCCTAATGCATTCACGAGCTTGTTGATCGTTTCATTCGTCACTGTTTTCACGCTCAATTTTTCCAGAGTATAAGATGCACTCGCTCTGACACTCTCGTGCTCATCTTCTAGAGCATGTACTAATTTGTCAACGATGACGTCATCCGTCACCGTCTTTTCGCTCATCATTCCGAGCGCATAAGATGCACCCACTCTCACATAGGCATCTTTATCTCCTAGTGCATCCACTAACTTGCTGATCACTTCGTCGGTTGCTGCATTTTCGCTCGTACTTCCGAGAGCCAAACATGCTTTGATTCTAACATCTGTATTTGTATCTTGCATTGATTTAACGATTGATTGAATCAGTTCAGTGGAGGGATTAGAAATCTTCAATTCAGAAATGAATCGAAGGACTTCTGATTTGATTTTCATCTCATCACTTTGAAGTAGGTTGATCAACATGTTGGTAATTTTGGCAGTGCGAGTCAATAATGGTGCCCTTTGCAACGACTGCGATAAATGTTTGCGGATAATTTTGTTCTCATGGTAGAAACTGTATTGTATGTACTCTGTTATGCGTGCTAACAGTTCATCATAGTGAGGAAAAATTAATTTGTTAGACATTGCTTCCAGACAGATAATTAAAAGTTGGATGTGTCTGATGCCAACTAAATCCTTGGGTTCACTCAATACAGCATCCCAGAAAATGTTGGAGCAGGATTCGAGATCGTTGTTAGCAAGAAGACCAGATATGAAAGTAAATACTAATGTATAACGTTGATTGTATTTTTGATATTTAATAAATTCGATGGCTTGCTGACTAGAAGATCTTTGAAGAGCATGAATCAAATAGCGAGCAGCAAAGTATTCTTGAAAGCTAATATGAATAAAATAATGATCTTTGTCTGTTTCAATTTGCGTACCAGTTCCTTTTTTGTTAAAACTTTTTAGAATACCTAGATTAAGAACGTGTGGGCAGTCTTGAAAAGAAACATTGCCTTCCTTCAATGCCTTTTCCAGTAATGATGATTGTATCATGATGGTGTTATTCTTCATCGCATGGAAAGCTAGACTTTCTAAGAATGCTAATTCTTTTTGACAACATTGATCAATCTCATCTTTAGGTAACTGTAGAATTTGCTTATGTATTCGTGTTAAATAGCGTCGACATAACCATTCAGTCATGACATTATATAATGATGTTATTGTTAAATCTTTTGTTTCCAATGAATCTTCGTTACTCCAAATGCTGCAAATAACTTCTAGATTCACTGGTATATGAGCAACACCCCAAATGCTTCGATTGGTCTGTAAGTACTTCAATAATGCTTGTCTCTTGATAATGGCATTATCTAATTCGTCTTCCATTTGATTAAAAAATTGTTCTACATATTCTTTAATATTTTCGTCTTTAAAACCAGTTATTTCCATTTTCGTATCATATGATAATGTGTTCAGATACGGGCGAGATGTCACGATATGATGTGGAGTATTCAGTAATTGTTTTAATAAACATTTAAGATGTCCTGGTATATTTTGTACAATTTCATCATATCCATCCAAAATCCATAAGGTTTTATTCGCGTCGAATACTGTCGTTAAAAGACTATCTTCCTTTTCAGGTGGATCCATCGAGAGAACTTCTTTCTTCACCAGATCAACGAGAGAATAGCTCTGTTTAGATGACAATGGAGGATAACGATCGGTGGTTAAACAACGTAACGGAATTAAAGCAAGCAATTTATACTCTGTCCAAAATGCACCTGTCGCCCATTTGTAAGCGACATATCGACAAAATATTGATTTTCCGATACCAGCTCGACCAAATACGAGTACTTGTTTCCGTTGATTTAGGTATGTATTAAAAATGTCCTGGATGTCTATTGTAGATTTCATACCATAGATCTCTTCGAAAGTGCTCATAATGGCATCACCATATTGTATGTCACGAAGTTGTTTTTCGTTTTTATCTTGTTCTTTGGTTGTTACTATCGCTAAATTAATGTAGCTTTCGTGGATGGGAAATGATTTTGCCGGATTTAAAATACGTTCGATACGACTATTTTGTTGATATTGTTGTTTTATAAAATCGAATAAATAGTTTGATTCTCTACAAAAAAAAGAACACATAGTTCTTATCTTAACCCTTTCCTCATCACACAGTCGAGTCCCCCTAGAAAGTTTCGAGACTGTTACAAGTTTGAATATAGGTTTCCAATGAGGGATATAACAGAGGTTAAAATTATCCCATAATTTTGTCCTGACTATGTCACTAGTTTTACAATAACCTCGCAATTCGTGTTCTATTGGGAAAAAATAATAAACAACTGTCTTTAAAACCATGAAACCACGATCAGTCTTTATTTATTTTGCCATGGGCTTACCTTGAAGGGCTTATCTGTTCCAGATGAAGAGCGAAAAAACGATTTTCGAAATTGAGAGGTTCAAATCTGCGGCGCACATGAGTGCCAGGCATAAGAATGACTTCATGTTCATCTGGATTGACCGAATATTCGGAAATATCTCTACCGTCAAGAGCGTTAATAGCATACAAAGTGCCTTTGTCGCCTATAAACCCTTGAACGACATTGAGAGCCTTCGAACACGAGTTTATACTCCACCAAATGTGTTCATCATCGTCGACAAACGTCAGTGTATCATCAAAATTAACTCCTCGCCAAACAATATCCTTCACTAAAGGTAATTTTGTCAGAGCTGTTATGAAAAGTTTTAAGAAAGGAAACCATGGTTTCAGTTTCTCTCGATCTTCGTCTCGAAGTGTATTGTTGAGACAGGAGTAGAATGTACTTGGCATTGAATAAAAAAATATTGCTGCTGATTCATCGCGCGTTAATAAAGTTGAACGTCGATAAAATTTCTTTTTAGCTCTTCTCACGTGATCCATTATGTCAAGATTTGGTACAGTTATTTCTTCTAAAGCTTCTTCTAATGTCAGTACAGGTGAATCTTCATAACCAAATATTGGACTGCGATTGGCCTGTTCAAATTCTGCAGAATGATTGGTTACAAAACGATTATTTACCATAATTTCTAGTTGTTCTTGTTATGTCCAGCGAGCATATAATCTATCTAAATGAAAGTAACATGAGAGGTGGCCGGATTCTACGAGTTCAGAACTCGTGACGAACTCAAGGAACCCTTGGAACTCTTAGAACGCTAAGAACTCTTAGAACTCTAGGAACTCTAGAACTCTTAGAACTCTAAGAACTCTTAGAACTCTAAGAACTCTTAGAACTCTAGAACCCTTAGAACTCTTAGAACTCTAGGAACTCTAGAACTCTTAGAACTCTAAGAACTCTTAGAACTCTAAGAACTCTTAGAACTCTAGAACCCTTAGAACTCTTAGAACTCTAGAACTCTTAGAACTCTTAGAACTCTAACAACTCTTAGAACTCTAAGAACTGTTAGAACTCTTAGAACTCTTAGAACTCTATGAACTCTTAGAACTCTAGAACTCTTAGAACTCTAGAACTCTTAGAACTCTAGGAACTGTTAGAACTCTTAGAACTCTATGAACTCTTAGAACTCTATGGACTCTTAGAACTCTTAGAACTCTAGAACTCTTAGAACTCTTAGAACTCTAGGAACTCTATGAACTCTTAGAACTCTAGAACTCTTAGAACTCTAAGAACTGTTAGAACTCTAGGAACTGTTAGAACTCTATGAACTCTTAGAACTCTAGGAACTGTTAGAACTCTTAGAACTCTATGAACTCTTAGAACTCTAGAACTATTAGAACTCTAGAACTGTTAAAACTCTAGAACTGTTAGAACTCCAGGAACTCTAAGAAGTCTTAGAACTCTAGAACTCTTAGAACCGTAGAACTCTTAGAACTCTTAGAACTGTAGAACTCTTAGAACTCTAGAACTCTTAGAACTCTAGGAACTCTATGAACTCTTAGAACTCTATGAACTCTTAGAACTCTAAGAACTGTTAGAACTCTAGGAACTCTTAGAACTCTAAGAACTGTTAGAACTCTAGGAACTGTTAGAACTCTTAGAACTCTAGAACTATTAGAACTCTTAGAACTCTTAGAACAGTAGGAACTCTAAGAAGTCTTAGAACTCTATGAACTCTAGAACTCTTAGAACTCTAAGAACTCTTAGAACTCTAAGAACTCTTAGAACTTTAAGAACTCTTAGAACTCTATGAACTTTTAGAACTCTA